CCACATTAGAAGCAAAGGATAAAAATCAAACAGATGATAAATGAAAACATGTTTGCATTTGTTATTCATGTATATATGTCTTTGAACTTGCATTTCGTTGTAATAATATTAAATGGGTGTTGGATTTGTATTTCTTTGTTTTAATAGTGAATTCCAACTTATACATTGTTAATAACATAATTTTATATACTTGCCTATCTTGTCCCATTACTGTTGCTCCTATACCAGGGGCAACTTTAATAAAAATAATTAAAATAATTACAACTTTACAAAAAGAGAGAAGTTGCCGATCTTGCCCCTATACCCGGGGCAACTTCGTCAATTTCTCTCTTCTTGTAAAGTTGTAATTATTTTAATTATTTTTATTTCCAAACTGATTTTAACCAGTTCTATAGTAAGGTAACATTCCAATAGACAATATGCAAAGCTTGCTTTTTTTTCAGTTTACAGCAGTATTTATTACACAAAATTTAAGTAAAGCTTAACATGCCGATCTTGCCTCGATCTCCCCTATAGAACACAAAGCAAAATTTTACCTGGAATATATAAAATTAAGGGTTTTAGGTTATTTAATTTACATACACGTAAAGAACTTTACACAAAAAACTATAATTTGTAGGTTTCCAAACTTTTTTACTTTAAATTACTTTCTGAACAAGATTTTTTGGAAAGCATTTTATGGTATATTTTTTTTCTTGCAGCAGAATTAGAACAACCAAAAGCTGAACGTTACAGTAGAAAGGCATTACAGTAGAAACTCGATTAACGAGAATAATTCGTTTCAGAATTTTACTCGTAATGCGGAACATTGGCGATGCGAAACAATTTTTATCATAGAAATTAATGTAAAATATGATAACACGTTCTATGCCGAAAATATACAAATACCGTATTTACTTGCATATAGGACGAGGTTTTTATTCATTTTTCACTGCTTCAAAAACCTGGGTTGTGCTATACGCGCGAACGAATATCCTTGGCAATAATTTTTGTGAATCGTGTATTCTGCCATATTAGCAGAGTGCTATCGAGGTCAAGGTTAATCTCGCTTTTAAAGAAATGATCCGAAAATAGCTATTAACTTAGCAAATATTATAAATGTAATTATATCATATCTGTTAAATTAGTATTTTTAATGAATATTTTTCTACAGTAGATCCCCCTATAAAAGCGTTTCCTATAGTTATGATTCCTATAAAAATTGTGGCATTATCCGTAAACAACGGTAAAAATAACTCCTATAATACGTAAAACGTCATCGGGCAGCCGAACTACTTACCTGCCGTCCGTAGCGCCACGCTACGGAGAGATTTCTATCGTCTGGACAGTATTATATAAATTATATATAAATTAGGTACTGTACATATAATTATATATTAATTATATATAAATTAGGTACTGTATATATAATTATATATTAACTTAATTTATTGTAACTTTATTATAATTAAATATATATTTTTCGCCGTCTAGCGTCACGCTACGGCGAGTTAGGCGACCTATCGTCTGTTTAGTACTGTAATTTTATACATTTCTTGTGAAAGAAACATTTCTTATTTAACGGCCATAAAAATTATTTATATTAATGATGTCTCCAAAGGTCAACGAAGTTTTAGCAGAAAAATAATATCAGAAATAGCGGCCGCAATTTGATGCGCTGTTCCGCGACGAAACCAAGCTTTAGCAACGAGCGTAGTC